CTTTCAGGAATCTAGATTTGCTAATCTAGAATATACTAAAAAAAAAAGGGAATGCTCTACCGATCTCTGTTGCTGTAATGACAACTGAGAAATTACATTTTTCCACCCTAAAATACCTGTGCATCATTAAGAAGCTGTAAAGTGCTCTCTGTTACCATCTGTGTGGCTGTGTTCTGAGTCAGGGCACTAGGTCCTATATGTTCTCCTGTCTTCTCTGCCAGCATACAGTTTGCAAGGGTGACACACCTTGTCCTTTATCAGAATATTTTAGAGGAGTGTGTTGTGGTGTTTGTGCTCGACCCACAGTGTGAAGGGTTATGAAGGCTGCTCTGTCCTTGCCTCTGCAGTTGGAACAAGTCTGGCTCTGATGAGAAGTCCTTGCTGAGAAGTTTAGATGCCTGTGTCCCCACCACCCCCACCTCCTTCCTGGAGTCCAGAGTCAGTGACAATGGAAGCCTTCTGCAAGAGGGATAATGATAAGGACAATTATTAGAGTATGGATAATCAGTGAAAATAAGTGAAAAAATGACCGTACTGTTTGTTTTTATTGTTTGCAGAGAATTGCTACAGTAGCTGGTTGCCCGACATCCAGTTCAGCTGCAATGGTTCAGTGCTTGAGAAAAAAAACAGAAGAAGAGATGGAACAAATAACTCTAAAGATGGTAGATGAAATTCTGGTCAAAGTTATCATAAATGCTCTCTGTTTGTTGTAACAGCAGGGGAACTTGAAGTGAATGTAACCTCTTCTTGAACTTTTGCAGGAATTCACAACGCTGAGGCTATGCCGTACCTCATTTGAAAAATGTGATCAGGTTACTTCCCACCTTTTCTATATGGGCTTTGAGCTACTTGTGTTTTGGTGTCGCGCTCTAACAGGGAAAGAATAAGGGTGTGTGAAATGTCACAGTTTCACCTAGAAAACCTATATACACGTTTCATGTCTATTCAAAATATAATTTTAATTCATTATTCATTCATTGAACTTTTCTTTCTTTCTCAGACTCCCTTGTTCATCAGTGCATCTGTGGATGGTGTATTTTTTCCTAAGAGTCCTCAGCAATTGCTATCTGAAAAAGCAATTAATGCAGTCCCATATATAATAGGAGTAAATAACTGGGAGTTTGGATGGATCATTCCTATAGTAAGAGACTTATACTGGTTCTCCTTTTATATAATTTTGTTAATATAAGACTTCCTATTCCATATATATCCTTTC